TTTTTTTGCGGAAGCCCTCCCGTACGCGGCGAAAAGATAGGCCAGGGTGAATAAATAAGAAGAAGCCCGACAAGAAAGACGATGGGGTGAGCACTGAAAAAAAGATGTACGAGTGGCCTGCACTCGACTCACTTTAACGTTACCTCTCCCTCTTTTCCCTCTTTGCGAGCATGCACGTGATATATATATATATAGCCTAGTGCTCGCTCTTTACCGATAACACCGAGCGATCGTCGAGTTAATGCGCCGGGGAGGTAACGAGCCTCCCCCTCCCCTGTTCTCTCCGCGCGTCTTAATGACCGGGACGTATAAAAAATTGTTGCCGCAATGCTTCCGTTCCGCCAAATGCGAATCGAAAAAAAGGATATAGAAACACGGCTGGACTTGCAAACAACGTGCATGGGCCACGATGTATCGAGCGAGTTTGTATACTATACATCATCGACGAGTGCAGCATGCATTTGTCGTGGAATCGTGACCAAAGTTCGTGTACGTGTATTTCGCAACGCACCCCACCGTATGGCTGTGAAACAAAAATCCTGAAAGACATACCGCTGGTCAGGAAAAAAAAAGAAAAAAAACAAACCAAGGATAGAACAATGAGCTTGAGGTACGCGAGCTTATAGGGGCCCAAGCGGTCAAGATTATAATAGCGATGGTGTGCAGGGTATACACCGCAATAACGCAACTGTTCCCTCCTTATCTTTTCACCGCAAACATATATATACACATACGTGGCGAGCAGTATCAGCGAGCGTGGCTTGGCGGCTCGAGCATTGCAAGCTCGGCCGAGCTTTTTCTTCGCCCGTGTAAATAAGTATGTGGGCTCAAAAGGGGGACGGGGGCGGCGTTTTGTTATTTCGCGCGCTCGCATTCCTGCGGCTTTAACATTACAGCTGTACATGCATATACTATATACATAATGCGGTCGCAGTGGTGTTGACGCGGCGTTATGCTAATTGACGCGTAACCAGGGGGGAGGGAGAGATTCGTCGCGGGTGCTGTTGCGTGAATCTCGAATGCTAATCGGCGCGTGGGCCCTCGTGCTTACCGATGCTTTTGGTCACTGATGCGTGCTTGTCTGTGTGGGTGTACGCCGAGTCCTTGGAGCAGGGCTCAATGAAAATGCATCCTCATGCCGATCGTTGAGAAGTATTTTCATGTATACGATTTTAATCGCGAGCTGTCGATCCGTTGAATGTATTATGAAGAAATGTCACAACGATGATGTATTAAAATAATAGCGTGTGCGATTAACTTGAAGCTTGACGAATTTTTCGGTTGATGAAAAAGCTGCCAGTATCAATTGAACACCCCACGATAATAACAATCGTATGGTGAAGCATATTATATACATGTATGTGTACGTATCTACACGACAACCCGTTATTCTTTCGAGCATCAACAGCCGGTCTCTCTTTCTCTAAATAATTTAGTACAACCAACTGGGTATCCTACTAGTACCTAAATTGAAAACGAATAAGCTTCGTGCACACGGACGCATGGAAAGCCACCGGGCAACGTACCCCCGTAGAACATCGACTTTGATATGCAATCGCGCCTCGAGCCAAAGTGTTAAAAGATATTTCATGTTAATCAAGCCACCTATACGCGCGCCTAAATATATATGCAGGCGCACATATACACACACACAAACCTACCACCGAATATTTTACAAAGTGCCATATGGACGACACTCCGCGACGTGTACGTATGTGTGTGTGTGTGTGTGTGTGTGCATTATGCACACACGAGTCAGACGTGAACCGGATCGAGTTTTGCGCAACAGAGCGCATGTTGGAGGCCCAACGTTATACGCATATGTGTGTATCTGCGACGAAGATCGGACACCCTCAAATTAAATGATGTCGCCACCCCTAATTTCGTATATATACGTACATGCTATATGGGTGCGCTATACGTAATTCCGGGACCCCGTGTCGTTATTGCTCACTGCCTAGCGGTTAATTTAATTTTCGCCTCTCTATCTATATCTCTACATCCTTCTGTCACCAAAGTGGCAGTAACTCGCTGTCCTGGCAAATACGCCCCGTCCAAACTAGTGTATCATTAGTAGCTCTTCGGGACACGTAAGTCGTGTAATGCGCGAGTCGTCGTTTTCCATGTCTTCGCTCGAGTGTATACCCAAAAGTTCCGGCAAAAATTTGACTCTGTATACGTACAAAGTCGTTGTACACGGGGCAGTATACTTTAATGCATCCATCGTCGATCGCCGACATACGAATGGGTGGCCAGTGTATATTATGTTTTATCGGACGACGACAGAGTAGCGTGACTCACGCGTATATACATTGTGTGGCACGAGTACAAAAGTATCGCGAGTGCAGATGGTCAAGATCGGTAAGCGTGTGTATACATGTATATATATGTGCGCTGGTTACAGTCCAGTGCTGCTCGACAATGAGTATATATACATGGCATTCGTATATGCACTTACCTATTGGTGCACACTGTGCGAGCAGCTATACATCTTTCATGATTCTATGAGTATTCACTAGTCGTTTTTGTCAACCGTTGGCGTGACCACCATACCGAATTGTTGTATCTTCCGAGGACTCGGATGAACTGATTTGTATACAGGGAATCAGGACGTGTGATTTGACAGCTCCTTACCAGTCGCTCTTATAACAGAGGCTCGATTGCTCATTGTGACAACGTGACTTATCGGACTTTTTATTTTGGTATAGTTTGAAAATTCTCGATCACAAAACTTGACGTGTATCCGAAGTTTTTCTTGTTTTTGGCACCATTGATTGTACAAGTAGAAAAAGAAGAACCAAGTTTTCTCTTGACTTGTCAATGTTTTAAATTGAGTAAAATCCTTTTTGTACGCAAAATTTCAGGCTATATATGCAAACAAGCAGAAATAGTGGTAATGACGACAAACTGCTTGATTTGGCTCTAACGGAAAAGAACGTTTTTGTTGCAATCACTCCTCAAATTGACGGAGAAACCGTGAGAAACCCACCCATTCAAACCACCCCAAAATTCAAGTAATTGATAATGAAATAAAAAGAAATTTCGGAGGAAAAAACTCCACACATTTTTACCGATAAATGTTACTCAATCGCTTTATTTATTAGACAAGCTGAATCGATCCCATTTGTATCGCAAACCTCGTTTGTCCCCTTCTTTTATTTCTGACAACGATATGGTACGTAAGTATACACGGCCGTACAAGTGAGATCGTATATATATATATATCGTTGAGAGAAATTCAACGTTCGTTTGCTTCGTAGGTACTCCAATTGAGAGAGAACAGAACGAGAGAAGAAAAACGTCTGCAACTCCTCGATAAATAATACATTTTCAAGTGCATCAATTCCCAGCGATAATGTATATACGTATAGTCTCTTTAGCACAGCAGCTCTGTATGTACGAAGGCGTTACGTACAACCTCTGCAGCGCAAAAAAGGTCCATAGTCGCTCTTTAGCTTCTCCGTCGCAGCAGCCCATCAACGCTTGTAACAAAAAAAAAAAAAAAAAAAAAAAAAAAAAAAAAAAAAAAAAAAAAAAAAAAAAAAAAAAAAAACAAAAAAAAAAAAAAAAANGGACGCAGCTTCAAAAAAACAAAAAAAAAAAACAAAAAAAAAAAAGAATCAAGCGAGAACGAGAGAGAGGGATAGAAAAAGTGTGTTTCAGACAGTGAAAGACGAAACAAAAGGGGAAAACGTGAGCCGTCGGGGCCATTTGGAGAAGAGGGAGAGCAATCGAGCCATGGGATTCGTTAAATCGCAGAAGGAGAGGACAAAAACCCCAGCGCTGGGATGCTGCGAGCAACCGAGAGAGATGACTCCCTCGCAGCCCTCCGCCCCTCTCTACATTTGACTTCTTTCATCCCCGCTCCAACGCACCCATCGCTTGCGCGGTAGGTTGTATATACAAGTATAGGTATAATGCTTGAACGTATATACATGCAAAGAGAACAGTCGCGGTGAAGTGCACCCTTCATTCGCGTCTTGCTCCCCTCTCCTTACGTTGCAACCCCCCACCAACCCGATCCCACCACCACCACTATACACGCAACAACGACCACTAATGCCTGCAGCTCCTGCCTGCCTCAAGAGCTCCGGCCATACACCTATACCTATATGTATATGTACGTGTAATGAAAGATGTTAACTACAATTTTATATCGAATTACCGCTGCTGCTGCTGAAACACATTTCAAATTACTTGGGCGTGACGCGACGGGGCGCACCGCCGACGAGCCGTGCCCCATTGGCCCCCGGAGCGCCGCCACGGCTCTCGGATTGGCCGGAAGGCTCGAGGAGTGGGGATGACGTGGGGCGGAGCCCCACCGTCGTGACATGGCCGACAGTAAGTGTGTATAGAGTCGAGGAGGCAAGGCATCTGGGGTACAGGCAGCTCGAGGCGAAGGAGAGAGAGAAAGGAGCGACGACGGCTCCTGCTCCTGGCCGGACGGACCGATCAGTCGTGCGGCGTAGCCAGGCCAAGGAAGAGCCTGTTGTGTGCTGCGTCAGCCCTCGTGCACTGTTCTCGTACCTTTACCGATTTCTATTTGTTCGTTCGTTCGTTCGTTTGTTTGTTTGTTTGTTTGTTTGTTTGTTTGTTGTTTTCGTTCCATTTTGTGCGATATTTCGTCAGGACTGAAGAACTACTCAGTTCTAAATCGGATGCGATCGGTAAGGATAACATCGGCGTGTCGTTGATACACCGGTTGTTTGTTTACTACAGCATGTATTGCGTGTCGTGCTGATGGAAAGGGATCGATCGTCAAGACGTGACTTATGGTGACGAGCAGCGCTTCGATAAGCACGTATATGCGGGGGCAGACCGAGCGTCAATCGGATGACAACCGATGGTCGCATGTGACTCGGCGAGTGTGTTGTTGTTGGTTTAGTGACGTTGCGGTTACATTGAGCTAGTGAGGGTACATACGAGGGATACAACGGACTATACTCGCATCGTCTGCAATCAAAGTGATATATATATATATACACACACACACGTAGGGGGTGGTTGCTGCGGAAGCGGAAATGTACCGTGCGTGACATCGGAAGTAGTGGTGGATCGATACCGATCTGCGTGCGGTTAATCAGCACGGGCTATTCCGTCGCGTTGGTCATGCGAACGGCCCGTCCATCGACACTGCCAATTAGTGAGAAACAATTATCCCAGTGCCGCAGTTGGGTGGTATAGCCGAGATCGCGATAGGTAAAATTCTGTCTCCCTTGGGGCGACTGGTGCTGGAGACGATCAAAAGATCGGCAGCTACGACAGCGATTACCGGGGAGCCCGAGGCGAAGAAGGGACGGAAAAAGGAGGCTCGGCGCGGTGGCTCCGCAAGCCCCGAGATGACGGTCCACCACCACCGGCCGAACCACCACGTGGCCGCGCTCAGTGGCATCGCCTTGGCTAACGGGGTGGCCCATCCGATCGGCAACCTCAACGGCATCGTCGTCAGCAGCGGTGCCGCCGGGCTGAATCTCAGCCGCAGCATCGCCAACAGCCTCGAAATGGCCCACAGCGGCCTCGAGAGACTCAGCAACGGGCTCGACTCTCGTGGCAACCACCACCACCAGCACCACAGCGGTGCCAACAACAACAACAACAACGGCAACCCCAACAGCCTGAGCCTGTTGAGCTTGCACGCGAGCGCGACCGGCGGCAGCATGCACAGTATGGACCGAAACAGCGACTCCTCGACGACTATGTCGACGCACAGCAGGTCGAGGTTCATGATAACCGACATATTGGCGAGCTCGACGAGTCCGGCGAGCTTGCAGAGCTTGCAGAGCCACGACCCGCCGGGTAGTCCGCCCTCGGCGCCGAGGGATCTGAGCGTGAGGCACCAGTCGAGATCGTCGCTCAACAACAGTACCGTCGACGAGGACAGCGACGCCAGTCACCACGACGCCGTGTCCGTTTCCTCGAATGGTGAGCTTGCGTTTTTTTTTTTTTTCTTCTTCCATGTATACATTCTCATATGGCATACCTGGTCTGGTCAACCGAACGAGATCGCTGACGCCCCAATTTTTTTGTTCGATACGCCAATTTATTTGCTTTTATTTGGGTAATATTTGTATCATTGGGTTCCGCGCGCCAAAGACAACGTCGAGGAGGAGTAAACAAACATTATTAGCCGCAGATGAGCTCAAACGTGTCCCTATTTTATGATATCGTCTACGTGTCACTTGTGCTTTCGAGCAAATTTATTTCTATTGACTACGAGTGATCATTTGTTTGGTTATCGATGAAATATGAAAAGTAACCCTCCACTTTCACTTCTCGTGCGAAACAAACAAACAAGTAAATAAAATAAAAAATAAAAAAAAAAAAGTAAGGTACGAGGTCCTGTTAAAATTAAACTTGATTATTTTGTGAGAAATAAAAATCACCAAAGGTAAATAGTCAGAGGGGGTTGTGCGTGTATACTGGTAAGGAAGAGGGAGAAAAGTGTTGGTGGCCAATCGGTGGATTAGCATCTTTCGTCGAGCGGAATAAAACAAAAGCTTCCATGTAGAGTACAACATAAAGCAAAGGAGGAAGGGAAAAAGGGTCGATGCATACTTGTGGAAATTTTAATCGATTGGTCGGCCGATGGAGCCTCCTTCTACATGTAGCGTAAATACACCTACACGCGCGTAAGTTGATTTGAAAACCAGATATGTTTCGCGAGTCACTCATGAGAATAATATTATGCACTTGAGATGCGTCAGATGCTAGAGCGCGCGCGTGTGCATCCATGTACAAAAAAAAAAAAAAAAAAAANAGAGAGAGAGAGAGAGAGAGAGAGAGAGAGAGAGAGAGAGAGAGAGAGAGAGAGAGAGAGAGAGAGAGAGAGAGAGAGAGAGAGAGAGAGAGAGAGAGAGAGAGAGAGAGAGAGAGAGAGAGAGAGAGAGAGAGAGAGAGAGAGAGAGAGAGAGAGAGAGAGAGAGAGAGAGAGAGAGAGAGAGAGAGAGAGAGAGAGAGAGAGAGAGAGAGAGAGAGAGAGAGAGAGAGAGAGAGAGAGAGAGAGAGAGAGAGAGAGAGAGAGAGAGAGAGAGAGAGAGAGAGAGAGAGAGAGAGAGAGAGAGAGAGAGAGAGAGAGAGAGAGAGAGAGAGAGAGAGAGAGAGAGAGAGAGAGAGAGAGAGAGAGAGAGAGAGAGAGAGAGAGAGAGAGAGAGAGAGAGAGAGAGAGAGAGAGAGAGAGAGAGAGAGAGAGAGAGAGAGAGAGAGAGAGAGAGAGAGAGAGAGAGAGAGAGAGAGAGAGAGAGAGAGAGAGAGAGAGAGAGAGAGAGAGAGAGAGAGAGAGAGAGAGAGAGAGAGAGAGAGAGAGAGAGAGAGAGAGAGAGAGAGAGAGAGAGAGAGAGAGAGAGAGAGAGAGAGAGAGAGAGAGAGAGAGAGAGAGAGAGAGAGAGAGAGAGAGAGAGAGAGAGAGAGAGAGAGAGAGAGAGAGAGAGAGAGAGAGAGAGAGAGAGAGAGAGAGAGAGAGAGAGAGAGAGAGAGAGAGAGAGAGAGAGAGAGAGAGAGAGAGAGAGAGAGAGAGAGAGAGAGAGAGAGAGAGAGAGAGAGAGAGAGAGAGAGAGAGAGAGAGAGAGAGAGAGAGAGAGAGAGAGAGAGAGAGAGAGAGAGAGAGAGAGAGAGAGAGAGAGAGAGAGAGAGAGAGAGAGAGAGAGAGAGAGAGAGAGAGAGAGAGAGAGAGAGAGAGAGAGAGAGAGAGAGAGAGAGAGAGAGAGAGAGAGAGAGAGAGAGAGAGAGAGAGAGAGAGAGAGAGAGAGAGAGAGAGAGAGAGAGAGAGAGAGAGAGAGAGAGAGAGAGAGAGAGAGAGAGAGAGAGAGAGAGAGAGAGAGAGAGAGAGAGAGAGAGAGAGAGAGAGAGAGAGAGAGAGAGAGAGAGAGAGAGAGAGAGAGAGAGAGAGAGAGAGAGAGAGAGAGAGAGAGAGAGAGAGAGAGAGAGAGAGAGAGAGAGAGAGAGAGAGAGAGAGAGAGAGAGAGAGAGAGAGAGAGAGAGAGAGAGAGAGAGAGAGAGAGAGAGAGAGAGAGAGAGAGAGAGAGAGAGAGAGAGAGAGAGAGAGAGAGAGAGAGAGAGAGAGAGAGAGAGAGAGAGAGAGAGAGAGAGAGAGAGAGAGAGAGAGAGAGAGAGAGAGAGAGAGAGAGAGAGAGAGAGAGAGAGAGAGAGAGAGAGAGAGAGAGAGAGAGAGAGAGAGAGAGAGAGAGAGAGAGAGAGAGAGAGAGAGAGAGAGAGAGAGAGAGAGAGAGAGAGAGAGAGAGAGAGAGAGAGAGAGAGAGAGAGAGAGAGAGAGAGAGAGAGAGAGAGAGAGAGAGAGAGAGAGAGAGAGAGAGAGAGAGAGAGAGAGAGAGAGAGAGAGAGAGAGAGAGAGAGAGAGAGAGAGAGAGAGAGAGAGAGAGAGAGAGAGAGAGAGAGAGAGAGAGAGAGAGAGAGAGAGAGAGAGAGAGAGAGAGAGAGAGAGAGAGAGAGAGAGAGAGAGAGAGAGAGAGAGAGAGAGAGAGAGAGAGAGAGAGAGAGAGAGAGAGAGAGAGAGAGAGAGAGAGAGAGAGAGAGAGAGAGAGAGAGAGAGAGAGAGAGAGAGAGAGAGAGAGAGAGAGAGAGAGAGAGAGAGAGAGAGAGAGAGAGAGAGAGAGAGAGAGAGAGAGAGAGAGAGAGAGAGAGAGAGAGAGAGAGAGAGAGAGAGAGAGAGAGAGAGAGAGAGAGAGAGAGAGAGAGAGAGAGAGAGAGAGAGAGAGAGAGAGAGAGAGAGAGAGAGAGAGAGAGAGAGAGAGAGAGAGAGAGAGAGAGAGAGAGAGAGAGAGAGAGAGAGAGAGAGAGAGAGAGAGAGAGAGAGAGAGAGAGAGAGAGAGAGAGAGAGAGAGAGAGAGAGAGAGAGAGAGAGAGAGAGAGAGAGAGAGAGAGAGAGAGAGAGAGAGAGAGAGAGAGAGAGAGAGAGAGAGAGAGAGAGAGAGAGAGAGAGAGAGAGAGAGAGAGAGAGAGAGAGAGAGAGAGAGAGAGAGAGAGAGAGAGAGAGAGAGAGAGAGAGAGAGAGAGAGAGAGAGAGAGAGAGAGAGAGAGAGAGAGAGAGAGAGAGAGAGAGAGAGAGAGAGAGAGAGAGAGAGAGAGAGAGAGAGAGAGAGAGAGAGAGAGAGAGAGAGAGAGAGAGAGAGAGAGAGAGAGAGAGAGAGAGAGAGAGAGAGAGAGAGAGAGAGAGAGAGAGAGAGAGAGAGAGAGAGAGAGAGAGAGAGAGAGAGAGAGAGAGAGAGAGAGAGAGAGAGAGAGAGAGAGAGAGAGAGAGAGAGAGAGAGAGAGAGAGAGAGAGAGAGAGAGAGAGAGAGAGAGAGAGAGAGAGAGAGAGAGAGAGAGAGAGAGAGAGAGAGAGAGAGAGAGAGAGAGAGAGAGAGAGAGAGAGAGAGAGAGAGAGAGAGAGAGAGAGAGAGAGAGAGAGAGAGAGACTACAAGAGAGAGAGAGAGAGAGAGAGAGAGAGAGAGAGAGAGAGAGAGCGGGAGTCAAAAAGCGTGAAAACTCGATCCGTGATTTTTGAATGAGCGGCGGCTACGTATGGGACATTTATACCTATACAATGTGTAACTATATATACGTATACGTATAATCGGCCCAAGAATCGAAACGACGCGTATAATCCGCTTAAGCAGCCAGTTTCCCTCTCTCTCTCTCCCTCTTTTGGTCATTGTCGAGCCCTTTTTACGCGCTTGCCCGTATATACATATACCTACAATATACGTGTGTGTGTGTGTGCAGCATCAAAGAGAGAGAGAGTTTCACGCCCCGCTCTCCCGCGAGACTAATCCGAAAACCGGAAATGATTGGCAACCGTTTAGATCTCGGCGTGGATTAGAATTGTTGTTGCTCCGACGCTGCCTCCTCTCTATACCCCCAAAGAGCTGTCACCTCTCTCTCTCTCTTCTTTCACTCGTGTCTCGCGCGCTCGACTTCTTCTTCTTCTTTGACGAAACAATCTGTGCACCTTTTTTTTCCCTTCCCTCTGCCCTTCGGATCGCTTGCGACTTAAAGTTTTAGACTGCGGATCGAAAAGTCCGCCGTTTTTTGAAGCAAGACCGCTCCCCCTTTTTTTTTTTTTTTTTTTTGCCTATGTATCTGTACGTGCGTGCGTGCGTGAGCTCGATGATTTCCCTCTTTTCCTCGAGAATTGACAGCTCGTGCATATTTTTAGCTAGGGTTGAAAATAAAGAAGAAAAAAAAATCAAACAAACAAACAAGCAATGAATATTTAATCGCGAAGACAATCGAGCCGATTTAAAAATTACTCGAGTCGATGGTTAAGGTAAAAATGCCCCGGAGCACACGAGAAATGACTCTAGACTCCGATGATTTATTCATACACACATATATACATGTAAGATATTCTGGTACGTGCATTGTAAATATAACAGCAGAGTCACGAAAATCGCAAAACGCGAATCATAATCGGTGAAAATTGCTCGCCAGCCAACCGATTTTCTCCACCCCTACGTACGATTTCTTTTTTTCGCACGTACATTACGATCATCGCAGTTTCTCTCCATTTCTATTTCTTCCAACGTGCAATCGTCTTAGATGAACCAACGCAAAGAAAAATCTCGCGTGGAAGACACCCTTACGTGTGGCTTTCGATGCCTCTATAAAATTTTTTACTTTTCATATTCTCTCGAGTCCGGGTGGTTATTATATACACAAAAATCCGCGACTCGCTCAAAGACGCAAAAGTAGGTATATATTTATATGGATACACTAACACCTCGTTTCTTTTCTTAACATATACAGTATATGTACTAGGTATATAATGTAGTTACGTTACTACAAGCTCATCGCCGTAATTCCCGTCAATCCGCGTAATCGTGGTTCGTACGTATAATAAAGTACTTGTATATCTTTGTTTCGGATAAATTGAAACATCGCAGGTCGTTTCAAAGAGGCCGGACATCTCCGCTGCGATGTTTTATCG